AAAATATAATTTTTAAGAAAAACTCCTCATTTTATATTTTTACATATGTACCTCTTTTTCATATTCTCCTAACCGATCCATAGGATATAATCTAAGTTTTCTTGATTAAAGATAATTCAAGAATTATGATAATATACAAATATTATGAGGAAATACCAAAGGAAGACATCTTTGAAGAAGCCAAAAAGAATTCTTTTTCAAAAATTCATGTTATTAATTTAGGCAATAAACAGCCAATATATCCAATTTTTATAGGTAGTGCATCACATATCATTACTGCAGAGAAAAAAGGCTTGCTATTAATGAAATATCGTGGTTCGTAGTTGACAAGTCGACAAATCATTACGATGACTGTTGGTAGTCGGACAAATTCTAATTAATTTAATGGTTTATTATGGATGAAGATGCTAAAATGGGATAACACCGGGATAGCCAATGTGCCTGGCGAAATAGCTATTCTCGCAGGATTAACTATGTGGGCAACCACATTTCCTCGCATCAGGCGCAAGATGTTCGAGCTCTTCTTCTACACGCATCAACTCTACATTGCCTTCCTCTTCTTCTACATGTTGCATGTGGGCGTCTCCCATTTCTGTGTCATCCTTCCTGGCGTGTATCTTTTCATGGTCGACCGCTACCTGCGGTTCCTGCAATCAAGAACCAAGGTCAGGTTGGTTTCCGCACGCCTTTTGCCATCTGAATCCATTGAGCTAAACTTCGCAAAGAGCCCAGGTTAGTAGTTCCTCGATTCGGTAGCAGAAAACCTACACACAATTACTTCATGGTTGTCTCACGTTGACTCTCTTTGTGTAGGACTGGCCTTTGAGCCTCTGAGCGTCGTTTTCATTAACGTTCCGGGAGTGTCATCACTCCAGTGGCATCCCTTCACCGTGAGCTCCAGCAGCAACTTGGAACCTGAGCGGCTGTCTGTAATCATCAAGAAAGAAGGAAAATGGACTCAGAAGCTCTACAGAACATTGTCATCACCGGTTCCACAAGATCGCCTCGATGTTTCGGTCGAAGGCCCTTATGGTCCAGTGTCCAAGAACTTCCTAAGGTCCTTAAGAACATGATTTGAAGCAGTAATATTGTTGTTGTCCGTTGTTGACGTTAACGTGCGAAAATTTTGATCCTCACAGGTATGATTCCTTGATACTAGTGAGCGGTGGCAGTGGAATCACACCCTTCATCTCCATAATTCGGGAACTCATCCACCAGAGGACGACTCTGAATCGTCCAACTCCTGCCGTCCTCCTCATTTGTGCCTTCAAGACCTCGGCAGACCTCACCATGCTCGATCTCCTCCTTCCGGTATCTGGATGTATCTCGGACCTTTCTGGCTTGGATCTACGAATCGAAGCCTTTGTGACCAGAGAGAAATCTGCCACTGATGACGCGCAAAACAACATCCAAACCATATGGTTTAAGCCCCTTCCCTCTGACGTTCCCATCTCTCCGGTGCTCGGTCCCAATGGCTGGCTTTGGTTGGCTGCGATAGTATCGTCCTCTTTCGTCGCATTCCTCCTACTTATTAGCATTCTCCAGCGTTACTACATATACCCAATCGACCACAACACCAACAGCGTCTTCTCCTATTCTTCGAGATCTGTTTTAAATGTGCTTTTTGTATGTATCTGCATAATGGCGGCCGCAAGCGCAGCGGTTCTGTGGAACAAGAGAGAGAACTCAAAACAAGAGAAACAGATCCAGAATATAGATGCGCCGACGCCGACAACTTCGCCCGGTTCCCGGTTCTACAACGCAGATAGAGAGCTCGAAAGCGTTCCTCAAGATTCTCTTGTTAAAGCCACCAAGATTCATTTTGATGGAAGACCACCACTCAAGAGTAAGAACTTGCGCTGCTTTCGAGTTTTGCTTTGAGATGTATACATATTCTAATTACTTGGTACCAACTGGTGTTTGCAGAGATGCTACTGGAGTTTGATGGTTCTAACGTTGGGGTAATGGCCAGCGGCCCTCGCGGTATGCGTCATGAAGTAGCAACCATTTGCTCGTCAGGCCTGGCAGACAATCTACACTTTGAATCCATTAGCTTCAGTTGGTGATTCATGAAGCGCCTCTGCTCGTACGTAAGTGTTGTTTGCGTGTGAACAAAATAAGCCCAACGCAATGTCAGTGTCAAATGAAAGCATTTGGCATGGTCTTGTTCGTGAAGTTCTGTCGTGTGACGTCTGTAGATTATGCTGCAATGTGTGGAGAGTTTGCATCTTGTATATTATATTGTGAGTAAAGTAATGCTGTGAAAGGAAATACTCTCTTTAAAATCATGAAAGAACGAGCCAACAAGTAATAGTGTCTCACTTAGACCAGCAGTAGCAACGTTATCTAAAATCATCTCAGATATCCAAACTCGGTGTGTTTTGTAGATCAAACATCGAAAAAGAATTGATCGGCATGACATCATCGGCAACCAAGTAAAGAAGATCACAACAATAGTTAGTTGCGAGCTTAAATCCTCTCCATCTCAATCGAGTAGTATCTCAATCTTAAGGTTTCCTTATAAGAATGCAAGGTCAGAACCAGAACAAATAATTTTTACGGAATAATTATTACATAATTCAATTCATAATCAGTCAATCCATAACTAATCATCTACCTATTGCATATTCGACAGATTCAACAACTCCTTTAAAAGTCATAACTTATCAATCCAAATAACATATATACAAAATAATCTCAATGAACAACAATTTTAATAAAATAATTATATAATTTAATCAATTATGGATCCATCATGGTTTTGTTGTACAATTTTTAAAAATTTAGAGATAATGAGTAAATTATAACTCAATCATACGAGCAAATTATAACTCAATGATTATAGTCACAATATATTCCTTCCTGTGACAAGGCCTAGAACCATGTTTAACTCTTACAGTATCTTCCTATGTCATCACATAAAAGAAACCAATTTCCGAACAAATATCAACATATAACCTCTATTGGTAGGGTTCATATCATAACTATACAAACTAGATAGTTATAGTGTTACTAAAAAATAGTATATCAATTACTTTCATATAAAACTAGACTACATGCTTTAACATGTTATTCTAAAATTGATGTATCATTTTAAAACTTATATATATATATAAGTTTTAGTGTACGTAATGGTTATAGTCACATTATATCTCTACGACAAGGCTTATAATCATGTTTAACTCTAATAGTGTACGTAACACATATCTTCCTATGTCATGACATAAAAGAAACTAATTTCC